AAACACAACAACATTAACGAAAACACAACGACATTAACGAAAACACAACAACATTAACAAAAACACAACATTAACGAAAACACAACGACATTAAGAAAACGGAAAAGGTAGGTCCCAGTGGAGACCTAAGAAATCACTGATTGGACTACAGCTCGTTAGAAAACGGAAAAGGTAGGTCTCCACTGGGACCTACCTTTTCGTTTTCTTGATGTTGTGTTTTTTTTAATGTCGTTGTGTTTTCGTTAATGTTGTGTTTTCGTTAATGTTGTTCTGTTTTTGTTAATGTCGTTGTGTTTTCGTTAATGTCGTTGTGTTTTTGTTAATGTTGTTGTGTTTTCGTTAATGTTGTAGTGATTTTGTAATTTGTAATTGTGCTTCGCTAATGTTGTAGTGTTTTGCACCTCAGGGCCACCGTAAGGATCGGCCCAGCCCACATAAAATAAGTCGACTCACACATACCAGACTCCAGAATAGCTGAGCTCCCCGGCAGCTCTCCTCTTCTACCTTTGTTGTCTTCTTTTTAAAAGGCATCTCACTCTGCTGTTCTTTAACTCTACTATAAGTTAGCAGCAGTGCAAGCAGCTACCGTAAGAGCTGTTGTCGCGCGCAGCATGTTCACTCGCGAGTTCTACCCACAGCTACCATGGTAACAGTCGACACGCAACCTGCTACAATAACAGACAATCCGGGGACGACTTTAGCCGAGGACAGGTCATCTAAAACGGGAACTGTCCCTGGAAATGAGGGACCAAACCAAGTATTGACAGATGTTCAACGCAAAGTAAGTTCTGACCAAATATCAGTTACTGAAACCAAGTCATATTATTATCAAAACAGATAAAAGCTAGCTAGGCTAATTTTAGCGCTGTGCTAGCATCTCCCTGTGCAAACATTCTCAGCAGTGAGGTACACATTTACTAAAGCTTTATGGAGGTCATGTAGTGAATCTGATAATCCTTTAGAAATAAATGATAAAGTACAAGAGCCTAAAGCGAGGTGGTGTTACAACAACATATCAGTTTTTTTAACATCATGTTTTAACAATCACAACACCATTTAAGGCCAGACAACACTGACAAAATGCAGCGTAGGTTTTATGCTTACACCTGAAGAGGCTTTATTTTGTAGCAAAAACACTTAGCTGCCAGAGTTTTTAAAAGCTACACAAAATGATTAACTTAATTCCAAAAACAAACTTTGGGTAATAGTTTTCTTGTTAGCTCTTCAAGTTTTATACATTAACTATCTGATCAGATGTTTCTTTAGGTTAGGTGAGAACAACTTGTAGCATTCTGAACATTTAAAGGTTTATGAACAATAAAAAATGGGTTAAAAGTAGGTTCAATAACGGTAGTGTCTCTGGGTAACGTTTACCTAGGTTGTTTTGATGAAACATGGTTTGGTGGAGGTTCAGTTTATTTATTTTTTACTTAATCTTGTCTGTGAGGAAAGTCACTTTAACATTAAAAAGAGGAAATTACCCTCAATATCTCCAGGTTGTCGTCAATACACAGCGTATAATTAGTCCAAGTCACGCCGCTCGCTGGATGGCGAAACCACTGCCCATCTTCTGCACAGTACTTTGTAGCCATTGCTAGGAATTAGGAATACACTTTATTATATAGAACACTTATGTGGTTTCTAGCTTTAGAATACATGAGCAGATTAGTAGGAGAGTGAAATAGATTTCTTTTACCTGTGGGGTTAAGGTCAGAAAAATAATCAGGGCAGCTCTGAGAGGCAAGGGTACCTGCCGGTGTGTCGTCCCAGCACAGCCAGCCGTCCCAGTTACGACTGCAGTACGGCGCTTGAACAAACCCACAACAGCATTAAATAAATAGCTGTTTCGAAGGGACAGCTGTTGGTATTGTCAAACATGAAGCTTCACCCGTAAAGACCACGTTAAAAATGTACCTGTTTTGTTGAGTGCTGGGTCTCGTTTCATTTTTTGCAGACATTTCTGTTCATTTTCTTCCACTTTGAGTTTCTGTGGAGAAAACACAGTTTTAAAATGCGAATGAGGTTGACTTTCACTAAAATAACTTGTGTGACAAATTCAAGAGATGCACTGTGACATCATAATCATCCACTGACAAAAATCAGTCAATTTTCAGTTTAGCTGATGAGCAGGCGGTCGGAGACTCAAAGAGAGTACCTTTCTCTGACCAGTGAATGTGAAAAGACTTCAGGTTAATTATTTGTGGAATCAGCGAGGCGTTTATAAGAGCTTATCTAAAAGGAAATATTTTCATCTACGTGTTGAGGTCGTTCTAAAATTCATTGAAGAAAGCAAAGGAAAGCCAGGCTTTCAGCAGATAACAGGAAGGTGCAAAGTTGCAAGTTTCTCGTTTGAGCTGTCCGACATATGTCTGCAATCTGAAATTAGGGATTTAGAAATGTTTGCAGCTTTTTGGAAATGTAATGTACAATCTGTAGGCAGTACACAGTGTAACGGTAACCATAAACCCAGCATCTTATTTGCCTTAATATGATGCTAGAGGAAGTTAATTTTAAATGGTCAACTCTACAATTATAGTTTTTATTTAAAAAATGAATTTATAGGGAATGCTGAACTGTAACTGGGCTGATGTTGCCCCTGCTGTTAGCACAGGAAACAAATAATGATTGTTCATGACAAGAAGGTTGGAAAAAAAAAATCATTTTGAAAATTTTTTTCACGTGTATCTCTTAAAGAAAAATCAAAAGCATAACCAAAATCAGTGATCAGTGCATCTCTTATAGACAGACATTACCGCTGGCCTCTTGTCATCGGTTGTCACGCAGAGTGTGTAATTGGTCCAAATTTTATTGCTCGCTGGATGACGAAACCACTCTCCATCTGCTCCACAGTACTTTTTTGCCTGTTCTGTAAAGCAGATGTAATTTAATAAGTTTTTTGTTGTTGTTGTTGTTTTTTTATATAAAAAAATAAAACCTCTTGAGTGTTGCTTCTCACCTGTGCGGTCAAAGCTTACAAAGTAATCAGGACAGTTCTGGGATGCGTAGCTTCCTGCCGGCGTATCGTCCCAGCACAGCCAGCCGTCCCAGTTCCTACCGCAGTGCAAGCCTGCCACACCACATCACAAACATAATGAAAGCACATTTAAACCTCTCGCAGATGTAGGATTAAAAAAAAAATAATAATAAACTGTGTCAAGTACCTGATTTATTATACGGTGGCGCGTTCTTCATTTTCTCTAGGCATTTGTTTTCATTTTCAAGAATAATCTTTTCTGTTCTGACCCACATGGCTTCTGTGGTTGGCTCTCCTGCCGCATCCTTTAAAAAACTCATTTCCTTTTGGAAGCAAAAAAAAAAAAAATGACAAGCAGCTGCTTTGTTTACATGAAAAGTTGCACAAGCTGTCTCATCTTTCTATTGCTTCTAGGCAAAAATCCAATAAATGGTTACCTCTATTTTGCTCTTTAAAGGTGGTCCACAAGCGGCGCCCGTTTGGACCCAGTCACCTGATTTGTCACAATATTTGGTCACGTTTTCTGCGGAGAAGTAGAAAAGAAGTGGCACACAGTGTAATCAACCAGTAACTTTCCCAACTGATTTATTTGCAGGCACTTTTTTTTTTTTTCCTTTTTTTATTTCAGCGAGAGATTTAGTAGAGAGTGTATGCTTTGGATGCCTCGCTCTGTTATTTTTCATCAGTAGCATATTGGCATAATCCTGACATGGCGAATCTTGGCAGAACCAGAAAACTATGATTAATTCACCTTGGCACGCAGCATCAAAGAGAATGTTTTCCACCTTTGGAGTCATTTTTCTGGCAAATTCTCAAATGTCAAACTTTAAAAAGAAAAAGAAAGAAAAAAAAAAAAGAGACATGTACAAGAGATCCGTGACGAGGCTACCAGGATGAGATCACATTATTCCTGACAGAGGCAGCAACAACAGCTTAGTCCTGGCTGACAGCTCATCAACTGCTCGCGAAATGAAACGCTCCTCCCGGCATCGGATCGGGAGTACGAGCTTTCAAATGGTCCATATGGGGACTCTTAGAGTCACAGACATTTCTAGTAGGATCCCTCATGAGCCAGCTCGTACAAAAACAACCAGTCGGCTCCCTCATTCATATTCTCTCTCCCCATCCATCTCTCCGGCTCCAGTTTTCCTGCCTTTATTCCTCTCCTGTTTTTTTTTCCCCTCCACCTACTCCTCATTCATCTCTCTGTCCTCTACCTCACCTCCCCTCTCTTTGTCATGTTGCATCTCCTAAATCATGACATGATCCGACTCTGGATCTCTTCAGCTAGACACCGCTGAGCCTTGAATTATCCACAATGTAAAAATTTCACATTCTGTGAAAACCAGCGGTCCTGCAAATCAAGCATTAACCTTTCTTAGGTAATCGAAGTCCACGGTCTATTCCGGCTCAAATAAATGCCCGTATTTATTCAGGCCGACTGATCTGATAATGATTTACCTTTTATCTGATGTGCACATCTCTTGTAACCGGCTGTCGTTTAAATGGTGTGTTGGGAAAAGGTAGCACAAAGAAGCATGTGTTACTTTTTTTTTTTTTTCATTTGAACTCGGCTAGAACATCTGTGAGAAGCAGTTGACTTGTCTCAAGTGATAATAATCCAAAACATATGGTCAAATCAACACAGCCATAAAATGATTGTCATTACATAACTAAATCATATAGAAAACTCATAGACTGAGTGGAAAGAGGATGGAGGATTTTGAATGAATCTAGAGAGAATGGTTAAAACAATATTGTATGCTTTCAAGTTGGTAAATGTTGAAATTTGCAAAAAAAAAAAGTAAAATTTGTAAAAAGTTATTAACAGCAATGGTTTCAATAAAATTTTCAGTTTGAGATTGTACTCCTGCAGTGATTTACGTCGAGGTTTTGTACAACTCTCGAACAAAGACGCCAATAATTGTGAAAATGTTTTTAACGTTGGCACAGGTTATATAACCACAAGATATGAATGTTTCCGATTATATGACTGTGCCTCCTACCAAGCCTTAATAAATTATCCAATCACTTGTTATGTCTTTATTTTATTTTTTTGGTTTCGGTGAGAACTGACCGGACAGGTTTCCTCAGAAATTTAGGAGACGATTTGCATTCGCAAACAAAGGCTGCACAGAGTTCACTCAGAGATAAAACTGTAAATTTTTTTGCTCTTAATCCTTTGCATGGAAGTACATAAGAGAGGTGATGTTTACCGAAGAGTAAACATCACCTCTCACTTTGTTGAGCTCCACTGACCGCCCTTAGTGGCTGCTATCAAAGTCAAGTCGCTGTCAGCCAGCAAAGTGCTCCATAAAATAGCTGCCATCTCCTTGAACGCTCTCGCTAGGGGATCGTCCGTTAGCACCTGTAAGACACTCTTTAAGATATTTTACCACAAAACAACTCTTCAGAAAACATCTCCTACTCTAGCACCTACCCTGTGCCAAATGCGCAAACATCCATGAAACGTATCGAAAGGTCAATGCATTAGTATTGTTTTTTACTCAAGGGCATGGTGAGTCACTAAACAAATTGAGCTGAGCAGGTAACTTTATTGAATAAACTTCCAAGATGACCCAAAACCAGACAACTGAAAAATCCCAGCTGGTGTTGGAGAAAGGGGTGCGTGAAACCCCTAAGCAGAAGCATTTTTATCTTAGAATTTGACATGTTAGAATGCAACGCAAGATTAATGAATCTAACATCATGGAATGTGAAAACAAGTAGCTGTAAAATAAGACGTGGTAGAATTAGCATTATGAGAAAACAGGGCATTGAAAGAAGTTAAGGAGCTATGCTTGTGTTACAAACTCTAAATCTGACTTAAATCAGAAAACATCAGGGTTTCAAGAGCAGATGAAGTGGTGAAGGATTCCATCGTTATGGACACACACATGCGCGCGCGCGCGCACACACACGCAACCGCACACACTGCATTGGTGTGTAAAAATGTAGTTCAACAGGAAACAGTTTCCAGCTGGGTTGTTCTACTCTAGTGAGAAAAGCAGAAAACGTACCGGTTGCACCGAGGTCAGGGTGATCTGGACACTGCAGAGTTACCGATTCCCCAGCCGGTGTCTCATTCCAGCACAAAAATCCGTCCCACATTGGAGCGCAGAACAGACCTCAAGAGCCAAATAAGTGTAATTATAAACACATACACTTTGCCTGTGTTTTTCATTGTGTGTGCTGACAAAAAAGTATGACCCAAAAAGACTCGGATCACTTGTGCTTGACCACTGCCATCACCACCAACCTTCTTAAAAAAAAAATTATGCTCTCACCTTTGCAAAAGTATTTCAATTCAAACTTTTTTTTTTTTTTCTTTCACCAAAACCAAAAATGTTTATGTATTTTCTTGGATTTTATGCAAGTAGTAATGCTCAGCTGTGAAACAGAAGGAAAACGGGCCTCAAATGGGTTCGTTAAAGAACATCAGCATCATCAAGTAGGATGTGGTTTTAAAACAACATCCCAAAGGGAAATGTTCCCACATTTAGACGGGACCACCAAGACACTTTGAATGAGCTGTAGTTATTCTGCCAGGCCACTAAATGGCGCTGTTATTTTTTTTCATGTTGTCATATTCAGGCGCTTTTGACCCTCAGCTTCTGCCTGATGGTAAATAGCAACCCATCTCTGTCTCCTATGAACAAACTGCTCATGTAACACATATATTCTTTATCAGAAATTGTGATAAGCTGAACAGGTCAAGTAGAACAACCCAGCCCAATGCTATCCGCCATTGTTTTTGTCGCTATCTGCAGAGTAACAGAAAAGTTTCACTCTTAGACCTGGTTTGAAAAAAATGCCGGCGTGAGCGATTCCGGTCACTGGTGTTGTGCAAACGAACGGCCGGATTGCGACAAAAACGTTAACGTTTTTATCTGAAGAACGATTCGGTGTACGCGTGCAGGGCCTAAACCCGATTCTGAATCTGTGGCAAGACTTGGAAAACTGTGTTCACAGACACTCTACCTAATCTTATTAAGCTTTTATGCAGGGAAGAATGTTTTAAAAAAAAAAAGCTGTTCAAAGCCGGTAGGTGAAATTCCAGTGGTTTGTGACAAAATCTGAATAAAAATTCTAGGGGTATGAATTGGATTTGCAAACCACCATTTATCTGTCACAGTCTCTTGAGTGGTTCGGTGTTTGCCTCTCACCGGTTCTGTTTTCTTGGGCATCTCCTTTGGATGGCTCGACACATCTGTGTTGACCTTGGCTCGGCGCCTTCTCACTCTGTCCCATCCCGGTGCTCTGTCCGGGACTGAGTGATGTGTCTGAGATTGTTCCAGCATCTGCTGCCTCCCTGAGCTGCACAGAAAAAAAAAAGAAATCAGATATGTTCCCCATTTACATTCCCACCACAGCCAGGAACACGATAAAGTGTAAAAATCATCTTCAGCAGCAAGCGGGGAGGTCTTCAAATGTTTCACTTTGCAAAAAAAAAATAAGCTTGAATAAAGATGCACGTCTTTACAAATGATGGCATTTAAAACGGAGGAAGTGCATCGGGAAAGTTCATTGGAAGCCGTTCTGATCACAATTTCTCTGATTTCAAGTTCTGGTTTCTCTCCAAGTGTGTGACTCATTAAAATGTGTTTCGGATCACACAAAAGAAGTTAAGCAGCTGTTTTTTTTTTTTGTTTTTTTTTTTTTTTTTGGTTGGGTTTTTTTCTCCAAATGAATCATATCTTTGCCCTATTGTTTGTATTTGGAGGTAGAAGTAAAATCAAAAGGTGCTGTATGAAATGCTGATTCGATCGTGCTGCTCACTGAGGGATAAAGAACTTATATTGGTGTGACTTATCTTAATCTTACTTTTCTGGGGGAGCAAAATCTAAGCCTCTCCAGGTGCCAGGCTTATGCATTTGCATTTCATGAATTGTTTGAAGAATTTAAATACTTTGCCAGGATCATGTCTAGCTTTTATCACAATCAAGGAGTTTCTTTAACCCGACTCTTTTCAGAGGAGCCAGAGTGACGTCCTTACCTCTCTTGACACACACAAAAAAAGCTCGAAAAAGAGACAAAAAAATAGATAAAAGCACCGTCAAAAACAGGATGTCCCATGTAGCAGTTTAGCAGCCGTACATATGATGTCACTCCAAGCATTGAAGTAAATGACGTCATACATACGACCACCAGGCTACCACCAATATCAGGAAAAAAAAAATCTTCCTTCTCTTTAAAAAAAAAAAAAAGTTGTGTCAGGCATTTCTTCCTTTATTATTACAGCGTCTTATTCCTCCTGAATTAAATAAAAACAGCATTTAAAACAACATAAAATTACAATCCACAGTAACATTTGCATTCGATCAGATCAATGTTCCAATGTTGCACCCGATGTTGAAACAAGTTGTTAATNGAGATTTAGTAGAGAGTGTATGCTTTGGATGCCTCGCTCTGTTATTTTTCATCAGTAGCATATTGGCATAATCCTGACATGGCGAATCTTGGCAGAACCAGAAAACTATGATTAATTCACCTTGGCACGCAGCATCAAAGAGAATGTTTTCCACCTTTGGAGTCATTTTTCTGGCAAATTCTCAAATGTCAAACTTTAAAAAGAAAAAGAAAGAAAAAAAAAAAAGAGACATGTACAAGAGATCCGTGACGAGGCTACCAGGATGAGATCACATTATTCCTGACAGAGGCAGCAACAACAGCTTAGTCCTGGCTGACAGCTCATCAACTGCTCGCGAAATGAAACGCTCCTCCCGGCATCGGATCGGGAGTACGAGCTTTCAAATGGTCCATATGGGGACTCTTAGAGTCACAGACATTTCTAGTAGGATCCCTCATGAGCCAGCTCGTACAAAAACAACCAGTCGGCTCCCTCATTCATATTCTCTCTCCCCATCCATCTCTCCGGCTCCAGTTTTCCTGCCTTTATTCCTCTCCTGTTTTTTTTTCCCCTCCACCTACTCCTCATTCATCTCTCTGTCCTCTACCTCACCTCCCCTCTCTTTGTCATGTTGCATCTCCTAAATCATGACATGATCCGACTCTGGATCTCTTCAGCTAGACACCGCTGAGCCTTGAATTATCCACAATGTAAAAATTTCACATTCTGTGAAAACCAGCGGTCCTGCAAATCAAGCATTAACCTTTCTTAGGTAATCGAAGTCCACGGTCTATTCCGGCTCAAATAAATGCCCGTATTTATTCAGGCCGACTGATCTGATAATGATTTACCTTTTATCTGATGTGCACATCTCTTGTAACCGGCTGTCGTTTAAATGGTGTGTTGGGAAAAGGTAGCACAAAGAAGCATGTGTTACTTTTTTTTTTTTTTCATTTGAACTCGGCTAGAACATCTGTGAGAAGCAGTTGACTTGTCTCAAGTGATAATAATCCAAAACATATGGTCAAATCAACACAGCCATAAAATGATTGTCATTACATAACTAAATCATATAGAAAACTCATAGACTGAGTGGAAAGAGGATGGAGGATTTTGAATGAATCTAGAGAGAATGGTTAAAACAATATTGTATGCTTTCAAGTTGGTAAATGTTGAAATTTGCAAAAAAAAAAAGTAAAATTTGTAAAAAGTTATTAACAGCAATGGTTTCAATAAAATTTTCAGTTTGAGATTGTACTCCTGCAGTGATTTACGTCGAGGTTTTGTACAACTCTCGAACAAAGACGCCAATAATTGTGAAAATGTTTTTAACGTTGGCACAGGTTATATAACCACAAGATATGAATGTTTCCGATTATATGACTGTGCCTCCTACCAAGCCTTAATAAATTATCCAATCACTTGTTATGTCTTTATTTTATTTTTTTGGTTTCGGTGAGAACTGACCGGACAGGTTTCCTCAGAAATTTAGGAGACGATTTGCATTCGCAAACAAAGGCTGCACAGAGTTCACTCAGAGATAAAACTGTAAATTTTTTTGCTCTTAATCCTTTGCATGGAAGTACATAAGAGAGGTGATGTTTACCGAAGAGTAAACATCACCTCTCACTTTGTTGAGCTCCACTGACCGCCCTTAGTGGCTGCTATCAAAGTCAAGTCGCTGTCAGCCAGCAAAGTGCTCCATAAAATAGCTGCCATCTCCTTGAACGCTCTCGCTAGGGGATCGTCCGTTAGCACCTGTAAGACACTCTTTAAGATATTTTACCACAAAACAACTCTTCAGAAAACATCTCCTACTCTAGCACCTACCCTGTGCCAAATGCGCAAACATCCATGAAACGTATCGAAAGGTCAATGCATTAGTATTGTTTTTTACTCAAGGGCATGGTGAGTCACTAAACAAATTGAGCTGAGCAGGTAACTTTATTGAATAAACTTCCAAGATGACCCAAAACCAGACAACTGAAAAATCCCAGCTGGTGTTGGAGAAAGGGGTGCGTGAAACCCCTAAGCAGAAGCATTTTTATCTTAGAATTTGACATGTTAGAATGCAACGCAAGATTAATGAATCTAACATCATGGAATGTGAAAACAAGTAGCTGTAAAATAAGACGTGGTAGAATTAGCATTATGAGAAAACAGGGCATTGAAAGAAGTTAAGGAGCTATGCTTGTGTTACAAACTCTAAATCTGACTTAAATCAGAAAACATCAGGGTTTCAAGAGCAGATGAAGTGGTGAAGGATTCCATCGTTATGGACACACACATGCGCGCGCGCGCGCACACACACGCAACCGCACACACTGCATTGGTGTGTAAAAATGTAGTTCAACAGGAAACAGTTTCCAGCTGGGTTGTTCTACTCTAGTGAGAAAAGCAGAAAACGTACCGGTTGCACCGAGGTCAGGGTGATCTGGACACTGCAGAGTTACCGATTCCCCAGCCGGTGTCTCATTCCAGCACAAAAATCCGTCCCACATTGGAGCGCAGAACAGACCTCAAGAGCCAAATAAGTGTAATTATAAACACATACACTTTGCCTGTGTTTTTCATTGTGTGTGCTGACAAAAAAGTATGACCCAAAAAGACTCGGATCACTTGTGCTTGACCACTGCCATCACCACCAACCTTCTTAAAAAAAAAATTATGCTCTCACCTTTGCAAAAGTATTTCAATTCAAACTTTTTTTTTTTTTTCTTTCACCAAAACCAAAAATGTTTATGTATTTTCTTGGATTTTATGCAAGTAGTAATGCTCAGCTGTGAAACAGAAGGAAAACGGGCCTCAAATGGGTTCGTTAAAGAACATCAGCATCATCAAGTAGGATGTGGTTTTAAAACAACATCCCAAAGGGAAATGTTCCCACATTTAGACGGGACCACCAAGACACTTTGAATGAGCTGTAGTTATTCTGCCAGGCCACTAAATGGCGCTGTTATTTTTTTTCATGTTGTCATATTCAGGCGCTTTTGACCCTCAGCTTCTGCCTGATGGTAAATAGCAACCCATCTCTGTCTCCTATGAACAAACTGCTCATGTAACACATATATTCTTTATCAGAAATTGTGATAAGCTGAACAGGTCAAGTAGAACAACCCAGCCCAATGCTATCCGCCATTGTTTTTGTCGCTATCTGCAGAGTAACAGAAAAGTTTCACTCTTAGACCTGGTTTGAAAAAAATGCCGGCGTGAGCGATTCCGGTCACTGGTGTTGTGCAAACGAACGGCCGGATTGCGACAAAAACGTTAACGTTTTTATCTGAAGAACGATTCGGTGTACGCGTGCAGGGCCTAAACCCGATTCTGAATCTGTGGCAAGACTTGGAAAACTGTGTTCACAGACACTCTACCTAATCTTATTAAGCTTTTATGCAGGGAAGAATGTTTTAAAAAAAAAAAGCTGTTCAAAGCCGGTAGGTGAAATTCCAGTGGTTTGTGACAAAATCTGAATAAAAATTCTAGGGGTATGAATTGGATTTGCAAACCACCATTTATCTGTCACAGTCTCTTGAGTGGTTCGGTGTTTGCCTCTCACCGGTTCTGTTTTCTTGGGCATCTCCTTTGGATGGCTCGACACATCTGTGTTGACCTTGGCTCGGCGCCTTCTCACTCTGTCCCATCCCGGTGCTCTGTCCGGGACTGAGTGATGTGTCTGAGATTGTTCCAGCATCTGCTGCCTCCCTGAGCTGCACAGAAAAAAAAAAGAAATCAGATATGTTCCCCATTTACATTCCCACCACAGCCAGGAACACGATAAAGTGTAAAAATCATCTTCAGCAGCAAGCGGGGAGGTCTTCAAATGTTTCACTTTGCAAAAAAAAAATAAGCTTGAATAAAGATGCACGTCTTTACAAATGATGGCATTTTAAACGGAGGAAGTGCATCTGGAAAGTTCATTGGAAGCCGTTCTGATCACAATTTCTCTGATTTCAAGTTCTGGTTTCTCTCCAAGTGTGTGACTCATTAAAATGTGTTTCGGATCACACAAAAGAAGTTAAGCAGCGTTTTTTTTTTTTTTGTTTTTTTTTTTTTTTTGTTTGGTTGGTTTTTTTCCTCCAAATGAATCATATCTTTGCCCTATTGTTTGTATTTGGAGGTAGAAGTAAAATCAAAAGGTGCTGTATGAAATGCTGATTCGATCGTGCTGCTCACTGAGGGATAAAGAACTTATATTGGTGTGACTTATCTTAATCTTACTTTTCTGGGGGAGCAAAATCTAAGCCTCTCCAGGTGCCAGGCTTATGCATTTGCATTTCATGAATTGTTTGAAGAATTTAAATACTTTGCCAGGATCATGTCTAGCTTTTATCACAATCAAGGAGTTTCTTTAACCCGACTCTTTTCAGAGGAGCCAGAGTGACGTCCTTACCTCTCTTGACACACACAAAAAAAGCTCGAAAAAGAGACAAAAAAATAGATAAAAGCACCGTCAAAAACAGGATGTCCCATGTAGCAGTTTAGCAGCCGTACATATGATGTCACTCCAAGCATTGAAGTAAATGACGTCATACATACGACCACCAGGCTACCACCAATATCAGGAAAAAAAAAATCTTCCTTCTCTTTAAAAAAAAAAAAAAGTTGTGTCAGGCATTTCTTCCTTTATTATTACAGCGTCTTATTCCTCCTGAATTAAATAAAAACAGCATTTAAAACAACATAAAATTACAATCCACAGTAACATTTGCATTCGATCAGATCAATGTTCCAATGTTGCACCCGATGTTGAAACAAGTTGTTAATTAAAACAGTGAAATTAAATTTATAGAGAGAGGGAGCTAGGTCCATTAAAAAAAAAGAAAAAACATTAAACAAAATTTAATTAATAACTGAAAAAGTCATTTATTTCCATTGTTAGGTTTAAACAGAAAATGTGTGAAGAGTTATTTATATTTTTTTTTTCTTCCTGTTAGTTTTAATGATTATTCATTTATCAGCAAGGATCTCAATATCTCATGATTGCTTTCCAACAGCTTGAACTCTGAAACGCAGACTCTAGCTGCAGTCCAGACCCGACAAATCTGCTCCAAAGTCTCAAATAGGTTCTCCTTTAAAGTTCTCCCAAGGCTAGGGTTATTCCTTCCACTCAACTTTCTACTAATATGCTTGGATAAAGCGCTCTGTGAACAGGTTTATCTTTATTGTTGACCTTTTGTGGCTAATCCTCCCTGTGGAGAGTGTCGGTGTCTGTCAGCTGAACATCTGACAGTCGTCCCTATTAACGTTTAAGCCGTAACACAACATGTAATTTCTATTACAAAGCTGTTGTTTTTTTTTGTTTGTTTTTTTTTTATTTCTGAGAAGTCAAACTTTGGGTTTTTTTACTTGCTGCGAGCTGTAATCGTTAAAACGACAGCTCCCATATCTTATTGTGTAGCCCGTTCACCGGGACATCCGTGACGTTTGATTGCACCACTCCCGTCAGGTTCCATTTTTTTAATGACGAAGCACGGCAAAGTCGTCCCTGCATGATTTGTGGTTCTTCTGTGTGTTACGCTGGGATGTTTTACTGATGATTAGAAAAAAGTCCATTAAGCTAATTAATGCCATTTCTCAAAGAGAACACATTATGACTCAGCCCCATAGCGGCGGTGAAGGTTGAGCTGATAGATCTGAAGATTTATTCAAGAAAAAAAATAAAGCCTTGAGCCAAACGAAGACGTGGCTTAATTTAATAAATACATACTATTTACAATGCAACAACAAAAATTACATATCAAGAATAACATACACCTTTCTCAATAATCACTGGAAACATCTTTATTTGCATGGCAGCTATCAAACCATTTGTTACCATTTTGACAATGTGTTCCAAAGCTTGAAGGCCTTCTTACCATCAACAACATTTACCATATCAAAATTATTAATATTCCAACCAGTTAAAATAAATATACGCTGGTCAAATTAGAAGATCGATTTAAACCTAACTCTTCCAGGGATATGCACAATTTTGGGCTCAACCTATCTGTTGAGTTGCTGATTTTTTTTTTTTTTTTAAACAACAGTATCATCTTCAACTTCCTGATTTAATTCCACTAGACATTATGAACACACATGCAGGTTTTCAGTTTAGCTAAATTCATTTGGATGTGGTCAGTTTTGGGGAAAAATGGGGGCAAACTGTGAAATGGCCTACATGGCTCACAACACTGGGAGGAATGGTCCACGGGGAGGACACCCTGTATTTTTAAGGAAAAAGGAAAAAGACAGTAATTCATATCCCTGGTTTTTTTGCACATTTATTCTCTGAATCTTACGTTTTTATCGTGCAAAGTATGGTAAAGATTTTTTTTTTTTTTTTTTTTATCATCTGGTTCAAAATCTAAACTGTTCTACAGTTTAAACCTGAACCCGACTTTTCAACACAAAACACTGAATCTTTCAACACATGGATACTTCATTTTACTTTTAATTTTGAAAAATAAACAAAAACATAGACAGAGGAGGCTGGCTGTAAAAATTAAGAGATTACATACATACAGAGAGCTGCAATTGGTGAATTTCTGCATGTGACTGATTTAGAATAAAAACAGGTGGAAATTGCCCATCCTGATAACAACAAGATGCTGGAAATAAGTTGGTTTATGCTACACCTTATAGTGTTTGCATAAGAACATGCAGTCAAATGATGAAGACGTTTTAAATCCTCAACTGACTACTAATAACACAATTATGCAAACTGTTAAATTATTGTGTAAGTTTTATTTACTAAATAAATTATGCCACTTTACTTTTGTAGTCATTTTGCAGTAAATAACCGTGATACAACAGCATTTATTCCAATATATTTTACAAAACAGAGGTGAACATTTAATACCAGCACAGATAGTACCTTTTTTTGTGCCTTCTCTTTGGTAACTGCGGAGTGCTATTTTAATGACGATTTGGCTGCAATTAAGAGTTTCAAAATGCAATTTCTGCCCACAACACGAAAACAAATGAATGCGCCGCAATCGCAGCATGGGAGTTTTTTTTTTTTTTTTTTTTTTAAATCTGTGTCGATATCAGAACCTGTACGCCCAGGCACTACTCACACAAAAACAACAAATGCACTCCCGAGTCATTCATCTTTCAGTTTCTCCAGCCAAGCTGAGCTAATTAAATAGCCCAAATCATAACGGTGAGTGGAAAGCAATCATGAGGTATTGAGATTCTTGCTGATAAATGAAACCATCCGACCAAAACATATTGCATCTCCCTTTAATGGAAATTGAACGCTCTGCACATGTGCACGGGATATAAAATAGGAAGGGCTTTGAGGACTTTGCAAAGTTAAATAATGAGAGCCGAATGAAAGCTCACCACCAGAAGAGACCAAACAATCCACAAGGAGCCTGCAGACCTCATATCGTCCGCACACAGATAAGACCCTGGAGGAAGAACAGAGAAACCTGTTAGAGAAATAATTTATCTGCAGTGAGATGACTGAGAAAAAAAAAACAAAACAATGCTTTGTTATTTTTTTATTTTATTTCAGATCTCTCTTGAGAGAAAACATCCACAGAACCAGTCATCAGAAATGGAAAACACTGCAGCAGAACGAATGCAGTTTTTGGAACATCTAACACTTCTCTGTGTGTATCTATAAAGCAGACACACACACACACACACACACACACACACACACACATATGACATGTCGATCCATACATGAAAAGATAGCATCTCATAAGTCAAGTATGGTTGTAAAGGAATGAAGAAAAAGTCAGACGAAAATAGTTCGGCCCCATTAATCGTGTGCAGAGCCTCTGCTTCTGCAGAAACGGCAAAGGCATGTGGGCTGAGAATTCACCTCAGGACTTTCACTTTGGCTTACAGAGAACCTGCTGGAAGCCTCGCACTCCAGCATCTGAGCTCTGAGGACTGCCGATACTCGGTCCAAACACCGTCACAGCGACTCGACATGCAGACTGTTCAGCAGTCAGACATGGGTGAGCAAAGTCACAAAGTTATTGATAGTATTTCTCTTGGCAGCAGTGGCACGCTGATGGTAGGCTACTTAGCTTTAAGATGACAAATAAACCTGGTGCAGCATCTGCCAAGAATTCAAGGCGAAGGGTTTTCATCTGCAGCCAGGGTTTCTGTGAATGTTACAGTGTTTTCCTTATGTCTCTTGTGACATTTTCCTAAAATGCAAAATTGGACATGTTGATGGAAAAAATCTATCAAATGTAAAGTTGTTGTTTGTTTCTTTATTTATTTTTTTGTACGTCTCAGTCTCAAGAAAATAAAATAAGTTTTCAAAAAATCCTTTCCAATATTCTAACTTTTAGACATTATTTTATTTTTTATTTTTTTAAAATGACATTTTGGGAAAGTAGATCCTTTCAACCAGTGATAGGTTTTTCCAAATTTCATCTAAAAACACAAGTGAAATATTTTGAAAAATGTCTTCTAAACATAGCAACATCAAATTACAACTGAAATTGTCCCGAGCAAATCTCCAAAGCTCGCTGAAAACAACTGCAGGTATTTTTTTTAAAACAATTTTGCTAGTGTTTAATGACCATTTTTGAGACTTTTATGAAGCTTTATGTTCTTTACCAGGGCGGTAAAAAAAAAAAAAAAAAAAGTATTAATTCCTGGGTATTTATTCCTGAAATTTGACAAGAAACACTTTCAAATTTTGCAGAACTAGCATATAGATATGTAATAATAAAAAAAAAGAATCAATCGAAGTCTCAATCAAGTTTTAACAATGGATTTAAACTAATCTCTATCCATTTCAATATTGCACACAGATATTAATCTGCAGCACAGTAATTTTAAACAGACAGGCTGTGATGGACTCATGTTGGTGATGAATCAGAGAGGGACGCATAATAGGCTTGTTTACTTGAGTTCGACCTGCGCAGAACCATTTAACGGAGCTCCAAGCACAACTAATGGCGCTTACATTTGTGTTTGACTTTTTTTTATAGAGTTACACAAGTGATCAAGAGTTAATAAGACGGAAACAGCTGCAGGTCGAGCTCTGTTTGGCCTGGTGCATGATGGGAAATGTGTCCTTTCACCTTCTCAAAAGAATTTTCAGCTGCCTCTCTTTACCAGCTTCCTGAGCCAGACGAAAGAACGATGTTTACACCTAGAACTACTGAATGACAGATTTTGAAAATAGGAACGAGACCCCCGTTTCATTCGGCGTTCCAACTCTGAAATTGCTCGTGATTTATATTCATGATCGTTTCAGTGCCCGCAATCATAACCCACAACCGATCTTCAGGCCAAAACAAAACTTTAATCATAAGACCAAAAGTAATTCAGTGTGTTACAAAAGATCAGAGAGTCATAGAGAGAAACTGATATGCAAAGATAACACATAAGGGATATTTAGTGCTGATCTTTTTTTTAAAATTAAGTATTCAGCAAGATGCCACTACCTCAGCTATCCTCACTCCTGGACAATCTCTCACTGAGACTCACAGTAAATGCACCAAAGAGCCTTTATTGCAGCACCTTCCTCCAAGCAGCTGTCACTTTTATCAACAAGCGACACACACAACAGCACACAATTTTCAGCAGCAGCCATCAGGGTGTGCAGTGATATCAGTGCCACCTCTATCTGAGTGCAGTCACCCTTTAAAGTTAATTTCCTGTTTGGACTCAATGCAGTAAATGCTTGTTTATGTCTAGTGATGTTCTCTATCATTGGATTTAAATATTCCTCTGGTCTTGTCATCCCCCCCCCCCCCACCCCTTCCTTTGTGTGTACTCCTCTTATGTTTTTGCTGCAGTTATGTAAATTTCCTGCAGGGGAGCAAATATTATTATATTTAAAGGCAAGGGAAATGAATGGATGGACAATCTCCTCACAGGGAAAAAGATTTTCTGAAATCCTTTAACAATTCACCGCACATTAGTCAATTCTTAGCTGCAGGCAGGCAAAGGATTTTGTGTAAGGTGAATTATTTGGCCTCTTTACAGACAAATGTTCTACATCTCATGAAGTATAAAATGCAAACCTCATGAAGTCCATATAATTGAATGCGAGTGACTAATTCTGTTCAGTTTGGTCTCACGCCGAAAGATGAAAATTATCATGCGGCTGAATTACGGAGCTAAGTGTTATAATGGTTTGCAATTACACAGCCACCAGAAAGAGTACCTGTAAGGGGGGATAAATCCTGCACTTGGCAACAGTAAAAACTATGTCTCCTATACTTTTGAGCAATTACTTATTTTCTAAAGGTGTCATGCACCTAGACATTAAATGTATAAAGGCTGAGCTCAGGCTGCCGCACTCAGGGCATCAGATCTTTGCTTTGGTGGTGACAGAACTGTGAAGTCAGCCTCTATCGGGTTCCGACATTGGTTGCTATTAAATCTGTTTTTTTTTTTGTTGTTGTTGTTGTTGTTCACTGGAACAAATCTGGTTATTAGTTTGCAAATGAAAAACTCACTTTGATACTTTTCTTAAAGTTACCGCTGATTACAACGTTCAAAATGGACGCTAATCCACCCCTCCGAATTTGTGTTGTTCAGACGACAGTGGCCTTTAACTCAACAGTGGGAAATCGAAAAGTTGCTATGACCACAATGAACCGCGTGCTTGCATCCGAATGTGGTTCAGAGGTGGCACGAGACGAGTGACACAAGCATTACTCTCAGCGTTGTTGTTGTTGTTGTTGTTTAGGCTAAATTTGAAGGGGACCTTTAGTCAAATTTGAAGCATAATTTTTTTTTTTGGTGGGGGTTAAATACAAACCAAGGCTGGTCAGCCTTAAATAGTCATAGAAAATAATTGCTCCGTACCTACAGATAGCACAAACAGCCGTTCACGCGCACATTTGTACCGAAGTGCAGCTTAGAGTCGCCTCTGAAAATCCCTTTAATGGACACAAAAGGTGAGCTCCATATTGTTTAGTGGTGATGTAAGATTATTAAAGCAGAAAGGCTAGAAATAAATATTTTAAATGCTTGTTCCATACTCTCCTTGAATCAGACTTCTTGACATTAAAGATCTGTCTCAAAAGTCTGACTGATCCATCTGTGTTCAAAGTTTAAGTCATTTATTATTAATAATTATGGGTGCAGCAGTAAATAACAGTCATGTTTTTTTTTTTTATAAATTAAGAACTTATAAAACCTGGATTTCATTCATTCATCAAAAATAATTTATATTCTACTCACTTACTTTTAAAATAAAATATGAATATATTTTAAGATATTTTAATAATCTTTATCCAGTTTGCCATGCATTCATGGTTTAATTGTGCTTTATTAAGCTTTATTCTGTCTGCAGTTACAAACATGCAAGTGTTCAAGGTCCTGTATGCCTTTAGCAGGGATTAGTATCTTTATCTAAAAAATTAAGAAGCACATAACATTTCAACATCACAGCACAAGTTCATGCTCTTTACTAAAGAATCTGCTTCTCACCTGGAACAAGTTCAGAACAAGCTTCACACAGTAGCTCCACATGTGACCTCTAACACAGACCATACGGCTGTTTATGGGTGAAAAATCTCTTATATACACCCCCTACACACACACACGCACACACACGCACGCTCACACACGCTCACAACCCATCCCACAGAGACGATGAGCTAAAACAACATAAGTAAGGCCGTAGAGCAAAGTAAACCAACGTTCAGCACTAAAAGCTACTGAAGACGAGGAAGGTTAATCGTTTACAACACGGATTTGTAAAAGTCTGCTTTAAAATTAATTACTGCTTAGACTCCAGGCCACTTTGAAATTCCTGTGTGATTGCTGACTAACTGAACAGATATTGTGGGTGATTGAAATAAAATGTTGACAGTCTAGCTTTCAGCACGAAATGGAAAAACCTTAAGCTAAAATGGAGTTGTGAAGCATTTTTGTCGTAAGAAATTTAAATATGTCATCGTATGATAATCTCTGCTCTCTCTCCATCACTGAAACTGTTTGGAACTAATTTTGATAATGTGACAAAAGGCAGTGAAAGGCTTTTCAGAAATAATCATTGGGTACCAGAGGAGTGTGTTGAGTTTCAGCTTTTGACTGTTTTTTTTTTTTCCTTTCATCCGTCATGAATTCATCAGTCTGGTAACATCAGACAGGACTGCCTGTCAATCCTTTAGGTAGCGGTCGCATGCGCCAGAGATCAGTGATGGAGGAGGTGCCGGCTGAACGAGATTTTCTGTGGATTTCCCACTGATTCAACACATACAAGCTCTGGCTCAGCAGCCATTAGATCTGCAGCCACAAACGTTACCGATCCCAGATCAGGAGGATTGGCTTGACCAACAGACACATTTCAGATCTTAACCACAAAAAGCTGCTGCGTCAATTTCTCCTGAGCAGAAACACGCTTGCACCGTTCTTCAAATTACTTGATCAAGCAACAAAGTCAATAGCGTATAATTAAGAACTATTTAAAACAAGG